ATTTGCACTATTTCTGGCAGTCTGCAAAGGCCCTATGTATGACACATTAAGCATCAACCATATTTTCACAGAGTATGCCATTTAAATAAAAAACACAAAATCTAATAAATGAAGACTATTTATATCTCAATATGTTCAAGGCTCTTGTTCTGAGATTCCTCTCTCTTACTCTGAGGACTGAAGAAAGTCCAAGAAGACTCATAAGCAGGCTTAGAGATATGGAAACCTTAGTGGTCAAGGATGATGGGAACTGAAATGCAATAATATTTGAATTGGCATAGGCTCCGAACTCATATATAGAAGCTAACAAGCAGGGCCTCTTTGCTGCTTTTCCATTTTGGATCTTATTAGGTAACAAGTGTGGGAGGTTATGCTTGAGGCAATTTGTACGGGTAGTGGGGTAAATGAAGCACAGCCCTATCTCCCAACAGCAGATGCAGGTAAGATGCTTCTTGCCCCTTTCTAGCCCAACAGACCATGGTTTATAGCAGGCCTCTCCCTTCATTCTTCCCCATTAACTGCCTTAGATGTTAGGTGCTCATTTTCATACTGTGTGGAATAGTGCTAGTTAGATTTTTAGCAATTTAAATTGTGCAAAAAAGTATAATAAAAATCATCAGTCACATTAAGGAACCATCTACAGAATACAGGATGCCAAGCAATCAGTGTGAATTTAAGCAAGACACAAATGTCTTTGGCTGGCAGAAGCTCCAGGGCTCATTTATCATTTAATGCAGAGCGCACTGCAGTGAATCTTGTCTGAAGGCCCTTACCTAACGAATTGGCTCCCACACAGTTTCCCCTAACTCACTGATTTTTGTTCCAGTTCATAAAATCTGGGATTCATATCCCTCAGGCATCCAGTTCTGTGTCAGAGAAAAGATCAACTCATGATCTTAACCTTTTGCCTTCCATTTCATGAAATATTTGATTCCTGTTCTAATGTTTGTGAAATGCTGTTTTTGGTTTTGTCCATTTGCTCAAGTAGAAGTGATACAACTGTCAGCTTGCTTATCAGTGGCATCATATTGTAGTTTGGAGGTGTTACTTTTTTTGGCAGTAAAAGCTTAAAATCTCCTAGCCAGCCTTGTCAGAGGCTTGTATTTTTTTAAAAAATAAAACACACACACACACACACCTTTTTCAAGTTCCATATCATGTAAAGTACAAAAATATGGAACATTATGAGTCCCATTCATCTTCATGGCAACTCATATGACTTTTATTCCCTTTTGACATTTGGAGAACTAAGGGAAAGGTGACATAAGATGGTCATATTGTTTCCTGGTGGTGTATGGTTGTGAATCCCATATAATAATATTCTCCGTACTGTTACTTTATCAGGAATTACATATGGTATAATATGCTAGATAGATGTCTGATTGACAGCCAGCATGGTGTAGTGGTTTAAGTGTTGTATTATGGCTCTGTAGACCAGAGTCTGAATCCCCACTGAGCCATGATACCCATTGGGTAACCTTAGGCAGGTCATACTGTCTCAACTCAGAGAATAGCAATGGTAAACCCCCTTTGAAGAAACTTGCCAAGAAAACACCATGATAGGTTCACTTTAGGGATGCCATAGATTTGAAACTACTTGAAGGCACACAACAACAAATGTCTAATCTGAGAGAATCAGCAGTGAAAGTGAAAGGAGTAATCACGTGTCAATCATATGGAGGTCTTCTTCAATCTATTAATACGGCACTGTTTTGCTGTGGAGATAAATATAAGAAAGGCAAAGTCAAAAGAAGTAGGTCAGCAATGTACAACAAATTAATATTGCAGTCCTATCTTTGTCTTTCTGTATTTGTTCAGCCATGCTGATGCCACAGCAGGAAGGCATACCAGGAATTTAAGACTGAACACTTATTCAAGTAATTTGTTATTCTGAGTCAAATTGAATAAGGTCTAATTCTTTGCTAATACAGAACAAGCTCCTTCTATTCCAGTAGGAGTATCCTTGATTCTCTGAATAAAGTTCATATCCCTAGGGCAGCTTTTCCTGACCTGGTACTTCCAAAGTATATGTGTATATGTGCCTTCAAGTCACCTGTTGACTTGTGGGGATCCCCTGAATTTCACAGGGTTTTCTTAGACAAGGAATTCTCAGAGGTGGTTTTGCCAATTCCTTCCTCTGAAATATAGCCTACAGGACTTGGTATTCATTGATGATCTCCCATCCAAATAGTAATTAGAGGTGACTCTGCTTAGCTTCCAAGACCAGATGGGATCTAGTGCTTTTAGGATATTTAGGTCCTAGGTTGGACAATTGTCATGTTACAGCTTGGAAAGATTGCTGGGCTGCAGGAGCCCTCAGTTTGCAGCAATTGAACTGAGCTAAGGCCAAAGGAGTAAAGTGGGAGGAAGAGAAAGAAGCTGGAACATTTTAAAAGCAGCTGAAAAAGTGAGATGACAGAGGATTAATCAGAACTGTCCCTGCCAAATCAGGACAGTTGAAGTGTATACATGCAATTTATTGTTGTGTGTCTTCAAGTCATTTCTGACTTATAGTGACCTTGTCTGATCTTGTCTGAGAGTGTGTGACTGCCACAAAGCCACCCAGTGGGTTTCCATGGCCAAGCAGGAATTTGAACCCTGGCCTCCAAAGTCATAGTCTAATGCTCAAACCACTATGCCAGGCTGGCTCCCATCCATGCAGTATATTTGCCCATTACAAGCATGACTGGTTGTTAGGGATAAATAATGCAATACCTTTCCTCTTGCTTATTGAGAAAATTAACCAAGTTTTTTCAAATGAAAAAAAGGCAATTAGGGCTCCCCCTGCTTTTTCCCACATTTCCTGAAGCAAACATGTTTGATTGAAAAAAGTGTAAGACAATCTTATCCAATTTGGTGCCCATTCATCATATGTTAGACCCCAACATGTCCAGCTAAAAACTCCACCCATTCATATCATTGGTAAAAGGGGGCAAGCTAGTCCTACTGAACACTTAGAACTTTCTCCATCTTCTGTTTAAATGGACTGCTACTGTTGCAGTGGGAAAAATAGCCACCTCCCTTCCCCTGCTCCAAACTCATTTGACCTAGAAGATGGCTCTATGACCACCAGGAAAGGCAATAACATTTCCCCAAGACTTTTGGTTCAATAATCATTATAAAGGCTTCCTTAATGTACTTAATGTCTTTAATGGTTCGAAGATGCCTTCCTGAAGGAGCACTAATGTTTGCTGTTAAGGATACAATCCACCTGCTTGGGCAGAAGGTGGAGAGAAACAGCTTGAATTTGGCCAGCAGATAAAAGTCTTGTTTTTTCCCCATTTAGCTAGTTGTTGTTTTTTTTTTTTAATGAATCTTGGGATTTGGGAGTGCAGTGAATATATGCTGTTTGCTTTGGGGGAAAACATTTAATGCCACTTTAAAAGATTAGCTGGCTATGTGTCTATCTGCTCTCTTATACTTGTCTGGTAGATAAACAGATATCCCAAAAACACTGTTAAGTCTCTAGTACACTAGAGGATGTTGACCCTATGGTTATTCCCTAGTGTACAGGATTTCCTCAATAAAATTTCACGAAAGAGAAATAATCCCTAGCTCTTGTTTTTAGGGTTGCCAGGGCAGATCCTGATGATGTGACAGGTGACAGGTCCTAATGATGTTATTAAACTTGATGTATTAAGCATAAACCAAATTTATACAGAGTATGCCATTCAAAGAAAATACCTCACAGAAAATATATGTACATCCACACTTTACCAGGCAATACTTTCCATCACCCTTAGAGACAAGAAGAGGGCCCAGGCCTTGAGACCCAGGGCAAGACTCTGAGATCTAAAAACTCTCCCCTGTTTTGACTGATTGAAAACAGAAGTTTAAATTTGCCTAGTTCAATATATTAAATTGTTTGGGAGTGATTTCCTAATTTCATTTTTGGAAAGAGAAGTTGAGAAAGAAAGCAGTACATTCTGGATTAGGTGAAATTTATCTGACATTTTATTAGCTTGGCCAATACAGTATTCTAAAAGTGATTTAAAATATGCTACTATAAAATGCAATAAATAATGTGTTAAAAATCATTAATCAACCTGCAATCAAAATCCAGTATTTAGCCCCAGTACAATACTGGTGCTGTATGATGGGGTGAGCTCCTGTCATAGTCCCAGCTTCTGCCAACCTAGAAGTTCAAAAGCATACAAATGCAGGTAGATAGATAGGTACCACTTTGATGGGAAGGAAAACAGCATTCTGTGCAATCATGCTGGCCACAGGATCACAAAGTAGTCTCTGACAACGCTGGCTCTTCGGCTTTGTAACGGAGATGAATACTGCCCTCTATGGTCAGACACGACTTGATAACCTTGCCAATGGGGAATACCTTTACCTTTTACAATAAGGTTAGATTCATACAATCCTACCAAAACAAGAGTGGTGGGCCCTGCATCCCACATCTTATACTGTAGGATTTCAAAAGGGAGAATAAGGTACTAGTTTTATGTGGATCTCACATATTTTTTTCAAGGATGAAACCCTACAGTAGAAAAAGAGAGACCTCTGGAACACTGGGCCTCCAAAGGGCGGGATATAAATAAATTTTATTATTATTATTATTATTAACATCTGACAGGTTTTCACATGGTAAGAGAAGAATTACCAAAGAGCAAGTTAAATCTGGGGCCTGCTCAAGTGTGTCTGTGTTATGTTGAATCAACATGGTTCCAAGAAGACTACAACTAGTTTGCATTTCTATTTATTGAAAGTTATTTGTCCAAGATACAGCAGCTTTGCTTGATAGCTTGTTTACACAGCAGTGTTGCCCACAGGCAAACACGTTACAACCCATGTGACAGTGGTGAAGAGAGGTGGAACAAACTGAATGTGGTTTCTGACACACTGTACTGAAAACATTCAGAATTGCATGGCTGATTGGAATTCAATTGAACTGAGAGCTCCATGTCTGGGAAATGTTTGGTAGTACAGGAGTAACTTATTCAAATTCTCCTTTCAGTCAGCTGTATTCAAAGATGCTGGCACTTAAAAATATTTGTGATAAATTTTATTTATTTATTTATTTATTTTATATCCCAGCTTTCTCTCATTATATTATCCAAGGCAGCTCACAATATAAACTGAAACAAAATACAGTTAAAACAATACATGATACAAAGTAGATGTGTGTGTGTGTGTGTGTTTTCAAATGAGTAGTCATATTACTCTGTTTCAGTGAAACCAGACTCACAGATTTATTATAGCCTCTGCCTTTATGGATTATAACATACTTACTATTCCTTTAAAAACAGCTAGAAGGACCAGTTTTAGGTGGATGGAGTGAAAATCCATAATTTTCTCCAAACATTTCTGTTTAGATAGTTCTAGCTAGATAGGTCAGCCTTCCTTCTTTTGATTTATTGGGTTCTCTCATGAGTTGACAGAAGAGGGCTGGGAACAGAGAGTGGAAGTGTCTTTCCTAAATGATCTCCTACAATTCAAAAAGATATTGTTGTTGTCATCTGCCTTTGCGTCTATCTCGACCCATGGTGACCCTATGGATGAGGCATCTCCAGCCCCCCATCCTCTACAGCTCTGCCCAGCTCCTGCAAACTCATATTCATAGTCTCTTTAATAAAGTCCATCCATCTAGCATGTGGCCTTCCTCTCTTTCTACTTCCCTCCACCTTTCCTAACATTATTGTCTTTTCCAACGATTCATGCCTTCTCATGGTGTGTATGACAGTCTAAGTTTTGTCATCTTGGTTTGTAGGGATATTTCTGGCTTGATCTGCTCTAGGACCAATTTGTTTGTCCTTTTGGCTGTCAGTGGAATCCTCAGCATTCTTCTCCAGCACCACATCTCAAATGTGTTGAT